GCCTGGTAACCGAAGAAGACCAAGTGAAAATGAATGAGGTGGATGTGTCGTGCTTGTTCAACGAAGCATAGCAGGTGCTAAACCAGGTAAGGCATTATTACGCTCTTCTATCCTCTGACTTAGTCTTTTATATCCCTCATGTCCTCTCTTTTTTATCATTTTACAGTCCTCGGTACTCCATCATGAAAGTTTTCTCCGGTACCGGGCTGAGGTTAACCAGCTCGAAGATGAGGCCAGGGACCTCGCCGAGAAGAGGGACATGTATAAGCTTCTCAGCGAGCAACACGAAGAAGCCGTCAAGAATTTCCGGGCCGAGTTGGATGCGGCTCAGAAGGAGTATGCTGACTTGGTGGAACAAGTAAAGATTTTTGAAGTTAGAGATGATGACTTAGCCATGGAGACTAAGGACCAAACCTCACAGGTCCAGCAAAAGATTGACAGGATCGACCAGCTTCGGGCTGAAATGAACGAGGTCCAGGCCATGGCCGATGTTTGGAAGGGAAAAATGGACTGACTAGCTTCGGATAAGGAGACTGCCCGGGAGCAGTTGGCAATCGGTAGAGGTCCAACTCTGAGTGGCGAAAGAGAAGGCCGATGCACATGCTCGGCAAATCGAGGACCTCCAAGCTCAACTAGGGTCGGCCATTGTTGAACGGGATGCCCTTAGCAAGGAGCTCAAAATAACAAGGTCCGAGTTGGAAATAACCAGGGTTGATGCTAAAGAGATGGTGGCCCAGTACAGGGCTGATGTTGAGGCAGCCGAGGCCCGCCTGAAAGTTACTTTCCAGTACATGAAGCGATTGTCTCGAAGGGAGACCGTCGAGGAGATCCATGCCCGAGGTTTCAACCTGTCGGCCGAAATCGAATATGCATAAAGGCTCGAGGTAAAAGCCAAGAAGTTGGCTAAACCCGAGGGTGTAGAAGGCTCTGAGGGATCTGGCAAAACCAAAGATAGAGAGGACCCCGACGGCTCTGGCAATGAGGCGGGTTCTAGTGGAGATTAGGCATATGTACCTTAGGAACTTTTGTCTTTATTTTTGCATTTTGTACATTTATTTTGTTGAGGACGTTTTTGCTGGCCTTTGTAAAGATATTTTGGAATGTATATATAAGGTTTTTTCCCTTTTGGCAATTTTCGAATCTATTACCGTTAGCATCCTTTTTATAATTGCAAAGATTTCAAATGCCTTAGCACGGAGTAAAACGCATTAATAAATTATTATTTGGAGGTTCGAACAAGACTTGTTCTCTATGTAAGTTTTGTTTGAAACTTGTGGGGGCTCGGTATGATTGGAAGCTTTCCCTAAAGTACTTGTTTAAATGTTCTTAGACTATAATTTTGTCGAGGGAAACCTTTGAACCGGTTTGGAATTTTGAAGGCCTTGTGTTTTAATTACGGGTTTTGCACGTCTCCGAGCCGTTTTTAGGGGTGGCTATAGCCTTTTAAGTTTAGGCACTGCCTAATAGGCTTTGTTCCTTCGGGCTTCGACAGCCTGAGCTGTCCGAGTTTGTCTTAGACGACAGTCCCCGAGTGGGGTGGCCGTAGCCTTTTATGTTCAGGCACTGCCTAATAGGCTTTGTACCTTCGGGATTTGATAGCCCGAATCATCCGAGTTTGTCTTGGACTCAGTCCCCTATTGGGGTGATCTATCAAATCCGGATAGAGGCGGCCCTTGGGCTCGATATCCTTAAAGAACAAAATAAAATAGTCTTAAGGGACAAAATATGTATTTGCAATGTAGAACCTTTCTTTCATTCATGTGCGTAATATACAAGATTGTGAGTGGTTACAAGCTTCGTGTTATGGCTTAGGTGGTCTATGCGGGCACAGTTCATTTGGCCATTTGGCCTTTACAATAAATCCTATCTACCGAACCTAGACTATTCAAGCACAAAGTTTCCTTCCTTGCTAAAAATCATTACCCGAGAGTGATGGCCCCCGGTATTCGAGGTCGATCGTCGAGGGTGCTCGGGTACTGTTGAGGTGACCATCGATTCCGATTCAAAATTGGTCTTCGATTCTAAGTTAGCAAGATCCATTGTTGCCTCATTAAAAACCTTGCCGGAAAACCCATTTGGGACAAAATCGGTTCAAGGGAAAAAGAGTGCAACGCATACTTTCAGGCCTAACAACTACATCATCCTTTGGTTGTTTCCTATAAGTATTAGTCCATTTCGCAATATATATAAAGAAAGAATGAATTGGGTTGTACCTTAGCAGTAGTATCGTTTTAAGTGGGCCATGTTCTAGTTGTTCGGTAGTCGCTCACCGTTCCCTGCTTCAAGTTTGCACGAACATTTACAAGTAATCTCGATAATTTGATATGGACCATCCCAATTCAGTCCCAGCTTCCCTTCATTCGGATTTTGGGTGTTCAATGTCACATTTCTTAACACCAAGTCGCCGATATTGAAGTGCCGGAGGTTAGCTCTCCGGTTGTAATACCTTTCGGTCCGCTATTTCTGGGTGGCCAACCGAACGAGGGCGACCTCATGCCTCTCATCCAATAGTTCTAGGCTCGTGTTCATGGCCTCACCGTTTGACTCTTCGGTCGCATATCGAAACCTGAAACTCGGTTCTCCTACCTCGACTGGTATTAGTGCTTCAGCACCGTAGACCAACGAAAACAGGGTGGCCCCAGTACTAGATTTTGAGGTCGTACGGTATGCCCACAGAACTTCGGGATAAAAATTTCATTCCATTTCCCTTTGGCATCGGTCAAACTTTTTTTAAGGTTTTGGATTATGGTCTTGTTTGTAGACTTTGTCTGCTCGTTCCCAATAGGGTGATAAGGTGTTGACAAGATTCTTTTGATCTTGTGGTCCTCGAAAAATTTGCTTACCTTACTGCCGATGAACTGCTTCCCGTTCTCACATACGATCTCGGGCGACATCCTGAACCGACAAATTATGCGGTCCCAAATTAAATAAATAACTTGTTTTTCTCTAACTTTCTCAAATACCTGAGCCTCAACCCATTTAGAAAAATAGTCACTCATAAATAATATAAACTGAGCCTTACCCATTTCATGAATGGCCAAGGTGACAAGACCGAATGTAGTAGTTCTCCGGGATGAAGGATCATCGGTGCGTGCCTCTAACAGCCGCCACATTTCCGCACGAACTCCTTTGCATCTTTCTCCATGTCGATCCAGTAATAGCCGGCTTTGATTATCTTACGAATCAACGATTCGGCCCCCGTATGGTTCCCACAGGTGTCTTCGTGAACTTCCCTCAAAATATATACGGTATCTCCCGGTCACAGACATATTGCGGGTGGGCCATCGAATGTTCTTCTGAATATGGTGTTATCTTCGGACATGCTGAACCTGATCGCCTTCATGCGCAGAGCTCTCAATTCTTTAGGATCTGAGGGCAGCTTCCCGGTTTTCAGGTAATCTATATAGTTGTTTCTCCAGTCCCAGGTTAAGCTTGTCGAGTTTATCTGAGTGTGGCCTTCTTCCACTACCGATTTCATGAGTTGTACGACTGTTCCCAAACTGAATTCATCGTCATCAACCGACGACCCCAAGTTAGCTAGAGCATCGGCTTCGCTGTTTTGATTTTGGGATACATGTTGCAGGGTCCACTCCTTGAATCGATATAGTGTTACATGTAGTTTATCCAAGTATCTTTGCATTCGTTCCTCTTTCACTTCCAACGTCCCATTGACTTGATTTACCACAAGGAGGGAATCGCATTTAGCTTCGATCACCTCGGCCCCCAGGTTTTTAGTCAGTTCGAGACCTGCAATCATGGCCTCATACTCGGCCTCATTGTTAGTCAATTTCTCAGTCCTAATAGATTGTCTAATCTAATGAAATGCCTTGATCTCGGCTCACGTTAATAATGGACTGATGAACAAAAGTAAGAGCTTTGAATAATAGAGAAAATAAGAGTATATTGCCTTGATATGCGTGTTACAATGTCCCTAATAAATTATCAGACACCCCCTTTATATAGTAGGGGAGTTTTACCCTAGGTACAATTCCATAAAAGGTAAAAAATCTCTCGTTTTACTAATCACCGATTTTATGCCAATATGTGCCGAGATTCACACTGTGACATCCGGCTGGTCACGGATATCACGGCCCTTTGTTGTTCATGCTCGATTATCTAGTAATGCTCTCCGAGGTTTTTGGAATTGGAATCGAACTTGGGGGTCGGGGCCGAGGGCAGGCATTTTTCCCGGACCCCGACTCGAGGGCGCCTTGCCTCGATTCCGATTTCTTGCAGTCACGTCTCTTGCTTCGTTTACTTCATCGAAAATCGAGGCGCCCAGGGGCTCAGTTTCGCCCGTATACAATCTCCTACTCTTATTTGTATGTCATTTAATTTTTATACGAGGATATTTTAATCTTTTTATTTAAAGTTTGTGCTTTGCTTGTATGTTCTTTTATGCCGGACTACTTGGACCTCATAACATGTACCAACTAACATAAAAATGTGATTTCGTACGTTCTTTTTATTATGAAAACTATATATATGGATATTCATGGTTCTGATTTTTTCTAATTAAATGAAACAAAAGTAATTATGTTGATTTTAAATATTTAAACCAAACCAAACAGATATATACACATTTTATTGGTATGTTTGATTATCTATGTCCAATTCGAAAGCTGGAGATGCACTTGCTATGTATGGTTATCTATGTTAAATTAAATTATATGTTAATATTGAATTCTAAAACATGAATAAATAAACCATAATATTGAATCCCGATTTGTGGGATTACACTCGTCTGTCATTATTGTTGTTGCATCATAAGAAAAAGAAGGTGAACCAAAAAAAAAAAAGGAATAGTGAGCTCTCTAATTTACCTTTTAACTTTTCATTATATTTATTCCAACTTTTTTCCGTTTAACTTTCCTACTTCAATCAGGAATGTAAAAACTCTAGTGCTCTATAAAAATAAACCAACCCCTTCAACTTCTTCTCATGCGCACTGAAAACATTCAAAAGTAAACACCAATTCAAAGATTTTAATTTCCACCATTATGTCTTCAGAAAAGCTCTTAACCCTAAAGACCAGTGATGGTGCAGAGTTCCAAATAGAAGAGGCAGTGGCTGTGAGGTCACAACTCATCAAAAACATGGCGGAAGCCGAAGGCGCCATTCATCTGCCAAATGTCAGAAGCGATACAATGATTAAAGTGATCGAATATTGGAAGAAACACTCGGAGAAAGGCATCTCAGAGGACGAGCTGAACAATTTCGACAAGAACTTGGTGAAGCTGCATCACTCGGATTTGTTTGAACTCGTCGTAGCTGCTAATTTTCTTGCCGATCGATGAGGAGTTGTCGGATATAACATGCGAAGAAGTTTCTGGTAGAATCAGAGGAAAAACACCAGCAGAATTATGTGATATATTCAACATCAATAATGATTTTACCCCTAGAGGATGAGGAGCAAATCCGCACATAAAGAGGAATTAATGCTTGGGCGTTTGAATGATTCTCTAACGATGTTTGATATTAATTATATGGATGTTTACCGGAAAAATCGGATAACGTTAGATTTTGTGTATGGTTCCAAGGATATGCGATACAATTCGATATAAATCGTGTAGAGAAATAGAGATACGTATATTGTTGACTATGACAATGCAAATAGTGGGCAATAAGAATGAATGAGATAAAGTAAAGCAAATACAAAGGGATATCTTTCAATCTGAGAAGTAATTTTTTTGTCTCTGCCCTTTAGCTTACAAGGATTCCCCTTTCTATAGAAGAGGGTCATTACAAAAAAATAATAAAATAAAGCATATAATGGAAGGCCCATGATGACTTGTCTCTTCCTTGATTCCCGCAAAGATTCTCTCTCTTGGTGCGGTCGCAACGGCTCTTGTCTGTGAGCTCGACACTGGTTCGAACTCGTTACTGGGTCGGGCCATTCGGTCTTGGCTCGAGTTCGACCTTCGAGATGGGCGTCGCGCATTTCCGACCTCGAAGCAGTGCCTTGCGGATCGATTCGGTCACGGGCTCGATAGGGTTATCGAGTTGACTCCTCGAGCGACCTTCGGGCTCGAGGCTCGTTAGTACCGACTTCGGAGCTCACTCTCAAAATCTCATTCCGACTTTTTAACACTCGGACTCGAACGAACGTAGGAAGGCCGAAATCTATTTCGACCGTATACAGATAGTCTCCTCATTTCTCACGAAGGATGCGGTGAGAATCGATGTGATTTTTGGTGGTTCGATCGGGTCATAAGCCGACGTTTTCATAGGGATCGATTATGACGTATGTGATAGCTGTCCTATCGATTCAGTCTTTCAAGGTATTTAATGCTTGTCAGAAGGCGGTCGGCCACCTGTGATATTGAACTGTCACGGTATGAGCCTATAAATAGCTCTTTCATCTATCATTTACTTCTTTCACGTATTCACTCCCCTAAATTTTCTCATCCTTTCTTCCTTTCTTGTTGCTACCAGAGTTTTGGTGTTGTCAAATTTTCACTTTCCTTTGTCTTTCTTCCTCCCATATTAATGGCCAAGACTTCGAAAATTGTGCCTCACAAGGAGAAAGCTTCTTCTTCACGGTCGTCCGGCGACAACGCGCCGGTGGAGCCGTTCACCTATGACTACATTCCCGGCCCGTGTACTCTAAATATCGATTTTAAGATTGAGAATCCTTCATCCGTCCCGGGTCGATGTGAGCACGTGTCGATGTATATATGCTCTATAACAGAGGGTCATCTCGAGGCCGTTAGAAAAGACTGCAACTGGGGTTCCGAAGTTGTGTTGCAAATTCTATCCCCCGAAGAGAGCGCCGTCACCCATGTGGAGGGGTTTTTACGTGTTTACACTTATCCCTTCACATTGGATACGGTCGACCCGGTGATCATCGATTTTTACAAGAGATATCAGGTCACCCTTGGTCAGATTCATCCCTCTCTGTGGCACATAGTAATCCTACTTCGCTTCTTCTCCACCAAAGCCGGGGGGCTATATTTTTTCCTAAATTACCTCATACGGTTGTATCGGCCTCAAATCTTTCGAGGATTAATCAGACTTCATCGTCCGGCATCGAAGGCTTTGATGTCGAGTATCGACAAAGACAAAGATCAGGGTTGGATGGGGCATTACATTCAGGTGAGGACCCGTGACCTCATTCCGAAAGAGAAGATGTCGTTCCCCGAGGAATGAAATTTTGACCGTAAGTTGTTCTCATAAGACGTCGCCTTTTGTATCCTTTCCTGAATTTTTTTGATGTTTCTTCCCGATATACAGCTTCCCCTTGGATGCCACAAGCGGTGCCCGACCTTGAGGATTGGGTTCGAAAGTTAGCCTCGACTTCCTCTTATGCCGAACGCGCTTGGCGTGATTTGGCTAAAGGCAGATGGGAAGCCAAGAACCATGGTAAGGTTTTACTTCTCGTTTCCTTCGAAGCGCTCCTTGTGCTCCATTCGTTACCGATTTTCTTTCATGCATGCGTAACCAAGGATGCCGCTTTGAGGCCTTTGAGCGGTGAAGAAGGAACCAAGTCCCCGGTCCCGAAACCGGGGAAAGACAAGAAGCACCAAGCTGCCTCTCGATCAGAGGGCCCCAAGCCGAAAACTATAAAGGGTGAGGAGGAAGGCAATTGCCCTTTTGATTGACTCGATCCAACGACTGAGAGAAGAAGAAGAAGAAGAAGAAGAAGAAGAAGAAGAAGAAGAAGAAAAAGAAGAAGAAGAGGAAGAAGGAGGTGCCTCGGCTTTGGTGTCCCGATCTGCCAGAGCTATCGAGGTCACCGAAGCTCCTGAACCGATGGTAGTTGTACCGGTCGGGGTTGACTCTGGGATCCCGAGTCTTGATCGGAACGCCCCGAGTGATTCACTTGGGACTATGACAGTGGGTTATTCGCCTTTTATTCCCACCTTTTCTGAGGAGGCGTTAAAGGAAACTCGAGAATTGAAGACCCCCGATATGGGCGGAGGCTCTAGTGCAGGGGATCCCTTTCGGGATTGCTTTACCAGAGTCGGTGATACTTCCGATATCGGGGACGCTTCTCTTCTACTGGAAGAGGCCCAACGTTTCATTACTCGGGTAATGATTTTACTATACTTGATTTCTTTGTTCTTTTCCGAATTTGACTCGTGTTCTTTCCCTACTGTGTAGGCCATTAGTAGATTTTGGGTCGACCTTAGCCAGTGTGAGGTCGAGCTTCAGAAGGTCTCGGGGGAGAGAGACGCCTTGCGGCTTCTTTGCAGCCAAAAGGACGAAGCTATAAAGGACCTCCAAGCGGATTTGGCTAAGGCTCGTGAAGAAGAGGCCGAACTTGACAAGCAGGTGAGCCTCATTCTGTTAAAGTATGGGTTTGACTCGACTGTGGAAGTTATCCCTTCGTTGTCTCAGCTGCAGCAAAAGGTTGAAATGATGGGGTCACTTCGGGAAGAAGTCGATCAAATCAAAGCTGAATGTAATCGGTGGAAGGAGACTATCGATCGCTTGGCTGCCGAAAAAGAGACCATTTTGACCAACTTATTATTGGCCGATGTCCAGCTTCAAAACGTTAAACAAAAGGGTTTGGCTCAAGCTAAGAGGATCGAGGAGCTTGAAGTCCAGCTTGCCGAGGCCAAGGCTGAGGTTGAGTCGTCGAAAATCTTGGCGGATAAGTCCATTGTCATGTATCGGGTTGATGCTGAGGCTGCTCAGATGGAGGCACGAGAGGCGGCGGATACTGCCGACACCCGAGCACATTGGATTGCCGAACTTGCTAAATTTAGGTCTCGGAGGGAGACCCTCGAGGAGATACATGTTCGGGGTTTCAACATTACTGAAGAAATAAAAAAGGCTAAAGAGCTCAAAGCTGAAGCTGGAGCCTTGGCTTCTGATGGCGATGATGATGACGATGACGGTAGCAAGAGCGGATCCGAGTATGGGGGAGAGCCTGACAGAGAAGCAAATGCCCCTGAGGATGATCAGGAAGCTTAGTTCATAGTTTTTTTTATGTTTGTAATCAATCATGTAGAAACTTTTGTATATAGACAACTTTGGCCGATTTGTGAAGACTTTATGCGTGCCTTACAAATGTTTTCACAAGGATCTTAACAATTCAATCAAATTTGGACTTTGTAGTCTCTATTATTGATTTGTTCGAAGTGACGTAGCCTTTGGGCTTACTTGTTGAGTTAATGATTCGAACTTGAAGAAATATAATCCGTAGGCGGAATAGTCGAGTGAGTGATTTGCTTAAACTCGAAGTGAAAGTAGCCCGTAGGCTTTAATCGTCGAGTGAATGATTCGAACTCGAAGAAATGTAGCCCGTGGGCATGATGGTCGAGTGAGTGATTGCTCGAAATCGAAATAAAAGTAGCCCGTAGGTTTTAGTCGTCGAGTGAATGATTCGAACTCGATGTAATGCAGCCCGTAGGCATAATTTTTGAAGTAGCCCATAGGCTTAGCAGTCGAGTGAATGATTCGAACTCGATGCAACATAGCCCGTAGGCATAATGATCGAAGTAGCCCGTAGGCTTAGCAGTTGAGTGAATGATTCGAACTCGATGCAATGTAGCCCATAGGCATAATGGTCGAAGTAGCCCGTAGGCATAACGGTCGAAGTAGCCCGTAGGCTTAGCAGTTGAGTGAATGATTCGAACTCGATGCAATGTAGCCCGTAGGCATAACGGTCGAAGTAGCCCGTAGGCTTAGCAGTCGAGTGAATGATTTGAAATCGATGCAATGTAGCCCGTAGGCGTAATAGTCGAAGTAGCCCGTAGGCTTAGTGGTCGAGTGAGTGCTTGCTCGAACTCGAAATAAAAAGTAACCTGTAGGCTTATTAGTCAAGTGAATGATTCGAACTAGATGCAACGTAGCCCGTAGGCATAACGGTCGAAGTAGCCCATAGGCTTAGCAGTCGAGTGAATGATTCGACCTCGATGCAACGTAGCCCGTAGGCATAACGGTCGAAGTAGCCTGTAGGCTTAGCAGTCGAGTGAATGATTCGAACTCGATGCAACGTAGCCTGTAGGTATAACAGTCGAAGTAGCCCGTAGGCTTAGCAGTCGAGTGAATGATTTGAACTCGATGCAACGTAGCCCGTAGGTATAACAGTCGAAGTAGCCCGTAGGCTTAGCAGTCGAGTGAATGATTCGAACTTGATGCAATGTAGCCCGTAGGCATAATGGTCGAAGTAGCCCGTAGGCATAACTGTCGAAGTAGCCTGTAGGCTTAGCAGTCGAGTGAATGATTCGAACTCGATGCAATATAGCCCGTAGGCATAACGGTCGAAGTAGCTCATAGGCTTAGCAGTCGAGTGAATGATTCGAACTCGATGCAATGTAGCCCATAGGCTTAATGGTCGAAGTAGCCC